TTATCCATATTGTAATTCTTATAGTAACAAGTGGTACTATATTCCGCACCTCCTCTAAGCTTGTTTTTGGGTTTCAGAAAATCTAGTCTATGTTAGGAGAATTTGGCTTCTTGCAGGTCTACATCAGTTCAGAGCAGGGGAGATTTATCAGACAAGAAACACATAGAGGAACAACATCAGTAGAGAAAATACAGAAAGACATGCCCAGGCGAGACAGATTTAATCTGTCTTGCCCAGGCAAGACAGATTTAATCTGGGTTGCCTTGTCTTGCCCTAAAAACGAAGGAAAAAAAAAACGAAGGAAAAAAAAAAGCTTCTAAATTCTCTGCTGCTCAGATCCCAACAGCCTTCTTCCAGGCAAGACAGATTTAAACATCGTTGTGTGTTGCATTATTTGGCTTGAATTCAACAGATAGTCATCTCTATGCATAAGAACCATGAGTACCGGTATTGTTAATAGTACCATCTTTGCTTTTCCTGTTAGCCAAATGTGTGCTTTGAAAAAGGTCTGTTGAGTCATGTTGCTACAGGATGGTCTTAATCAGACTAAATGATGATTAGAATCATATTATGACATTTATGTGACATTTAAATCGACAGATTTCAAAGTTCTGTCACTTTCTATTAGCAAGTAAAACTGCACCTGTTTATGTTTATGATGTGCCCATCGTCCACGTTTCTCTCTTTCATTGACTGATAAGCTTCACGTGTACAGATGCTCAGTGCAAGAACGTTCACCTGTAAGAAACCAAGCAGAGAAATAAACAACAAAGAAAATCAAAATTCTCCAGGGGAGTTGTTTGCCTACTTTCATAGAACTTTTCAACTTTCTGAGCTTCGTCCTATTGCACTTATTTTAACAAACTATGTTGTTTTGCAGGATTTTAGGACAACAACTTTGTAATTCAGATGAGAGTCATGACTTTGGTTGTATCAGACTTTCTTTTTTTGTGATGGATTATACTCAGCAGAATGGGATTTAATGGATGACTTGTTTGGAAATGGTTATACTGGTTCAATTACATAAAAATAAACTTTCTTTCGCTCTGTCTAATATAAGCCTAATGCAGCTGAAAATTTTCTGCATGATAGTAAGTTTAGTTCTGTCCAAATTTCTGTTTTTGATATGGACTAAATTGAAAGTTTCATGTTTCATATTCTAAAAACTATGAACAAATCGACTCAAAACTGATCATTTAATTGCTCTTCTGGGAAACCACTCCTGTGAACGCTTCTTTCAAACAGAACTGCAGATAATTTTTT